CGAGACAAATATCAACTCTCGAAAAACATGTACAAGGCAGTCGCAACTCTAGCAGTGGCAATTTTTGCCTGTACCCAACTTTCCAGTGCTGCTGTACCAGCCAGATCCTTGATAGGTTTGAGAGATCCTCCCTATGAAATTAGGCCTGGTAACTGTACCCACGCCACAAAGACTGATTTGATCCTCGAACAACTGGTTTATAAATCCTGGCGACCGGTTTCCGCAAGACACGCTACGGTAAGTTTTCATAGTGCAATGTTTTAGAGGCCAGTCTTTTAATATAGGACGAAAATTGAGAGATCTGTTGAAAACCTGTAGGATATTTTATTTTTTTACCTTCTATGTGCAGTAGTCATTCACTAACTTGTGTGCTACATAACTAATCTTCAAATCTAGAAGGTACTGGTTCGTAACTCAAGCTACCGAGACTACCCTGGGTTTGCTACAATGAGCCCTGTTGAGGAGGTAGATGATATATTTGATTCTTTTCTTCACGTTTCCCTTCCGTTATCAATTCTGTATCTTATAGGCACTGGTCTTACCAAAAACAACTCAACTTCATCCTTATTTCGACTCGAGTTACTTTTGCATTCTCACCGAAGACAACTACACCCTATTTTACGAGTATCCATTACGGCAGAATGACAGCTTATTATCTAGTAGTATCTTTAAATTCCCCATATCGGCATAGGACACATAATTCTGACAGATCCATCAAGTAGACAGCCCTTTGACCTTAAATAATGTGTGGATGCACCCTCATGTCCTACGCATTCTCCAACGCGCCTAGGCATGCTTCTGATCAGGTGGTCAATGTCCTCCTGTGGTATCTCATTCCAGGCAACCACCAACTCCTCTCGAAGTGCTTTTAGAGTCTGCGGAGGACGTTGCAAATTAAGCAATCTCCTACCCATCATATCCCACACGTGCTCAAATGGGAATAAGTCAAGAGATCTTGGTGGCCATGGTCACAATGTGACATCATTATGTTGAAAGAAGTCTATTGTGACTCTTGCAACATGTGGTCGGGCATTATCTTGTTGGAAAGTTGGATCTGCCAGGGTATCAAGATAGGGTAAAGGTGGGGTTCTAGAACTTCGTGGATATAACGCTGCGCGTTCATGTTACCTCTGATGAACATTAAAGGTGACCTGGAACCATAAGCTATAGCACCCCAAACCATAACTCCAACAGTGTGATGAACACGTCTTTCAACAAAAAACTGTGGATTCCTCCTTTCACCACGTCGCCTTCTAACCCTGGCACGACCATCGTGCATGCCTAAACAAAATCGAGACTCGTCACTAAAGACAATACTGTTCCATTCCTGATCCCATAGTGACCGTTGTCTGCACCACTCAAGGCGATTACGTCGGTGTTCTCGAGTTAAAGGGAGGACCCAGTGCGGCCGGTATAAAAACAAGCCAAAACTTCTCATTCGTCGGTAAAAACTTTGCATGCCAATAGGTCTTCCGTGTTCTGCAAACCATTCATTTGCAGGTTGTGGAGAAACGGTCCCTTAAGGCCAATAATCTTAGGCGGCGATCTTCACGGTCTGTTGTTCTACGGCGGCGTCCAGTGCCCCTTGCTCTTTGCGTACGGCCTTCTCGAAGCCATGCCTGACAACACCTAACCACAGTGTCTACACTTCTTTGCAATTGCCCGAAAAGAAGGTCCAGCATCCCGAAGTCCCATTATGCGGCCCCTATCAAACTCACTAAGTTGACGAAACCGTACAGGTCTCCGTACTCTAGGCATCGTAACCGATCGTAAAGGATGTCAAGAACCAAAATCCGCCAACGTTGATTCTTTACTGCGGCTGAAATATTCATTTTTAGAGCGTTAGTGAATTAAAAAAAGCAGTATAAAAACCGGAATGTTCAACTGATAAGGCTGAAAATTTTTTCACTTGTTATTTACAGTAAGATAAATACATTCACCAACTTTTATTAAAATAAAACCATTTAAACTGGGTGTTCGGATTTATATGTCACTTAGTATATATCAAATTGGAAAGCCCGCGAAGCTTCTTCAAAAGCGGAGTCTTTGAAGACTGCCATCACTTCCACCCAATTTATCGTATCACTAAAGTGTTGGTGTGATATATTAGATTTAATAGTCAACCTAAGTAAGATTTCACAATCAAAAACTATTAACAAACAATACGCTGTCAAACTGATAGAAAATTTTATTTCAGTTGTACGAGATAGGCGCGCAAAATCCGAAAAACACTTTAGAATACTATTCGCATCTATAATGAAATCACATGAAACCCTGGGAATTGAACTGACTGTGCCAAGTACAACAAGCAGGTAAATGAACAGACCGAACATAGTTTCGTCTGCCTAGGAAAATCATTACAGACTGAACCTAAATGTGCCTTTGCTAGATAATATATTACAGGATTTGGTATACCGGCTCAATTTTAATATTTTATTTGGGTCAGTATTTAATTCAAAAACTGAAGCTCGAGTAATGGACATATTAGAAACAATCTCTAAATATTTGCATGGACTAGATAGTAACGAAAACAAAAATTTAATAAGTACCAGATTAAAAGCAGAACTTGGCCCTTGGAAGTCACGTACACAAGATATTATAGACAGTGGATTGCCACTGTATTTATCATGTGATGAAAACATTTTTGCTTAGATGCCTAAAATTACTGATTCCATTGCCGGTAAATGTTGCGACATCTAAAAGAGGTTTCTCCCATCTAAAGGGGATAAAAACTTGGCTACGATCCACTATGTTACAAGAGCGATTAGTGGGCTTAGCTCTTTTGTATATGCAAAGGGATATTAAAGTGGACGTGAATACAATCATAGATCGGTTCGCCAGCAAAAAGAATAGGCGCCTTGACTTTGTAATATGATAACACCTGAACTTTGCCTAAGGTTGTCTTTCAAATCCACCTCCCTTCTGTTGGCCAATAATTAAAAAATCAGGTGTAGTCAAGGGTTTACTTACGTTTAAACCAACACGGTGATCTTTTCTAAAGTATCCAATCAAGATATGTGGTTTCATTTATTGGCCAGCAGATTGATATAAAAGTCTGTTCAAATTCTGTTCAAATCACTTTCTAAGCTAATGTAATGATTGTTTTATTTTGAGACTGTGAACTGATGTAGTTTCATAGCTTATGTGTTTTTGGTTTTTGAGACTGGCTAAGAGAATGTATTTAGTTAAGCAATGAAAGTTTTTTGTGTTCTTCTCATGATTATGAATTTTATTTTTGATTTGCATTCAGTTTTATACTTTATAGAAGTCGTAGCATATTTGCTATTGTGATTTATTTCATGAAGATGTATTTTTTGATGTTTTGTCTGACATTGTTATGTGGAACAGTCTGCATTAGATTATATTATTTTGCATTTTGATTTTAATCTATGAAGATTGCTCGAACTTGGTTTGCTTTATTTACAGAAATTACTGTAGAAAATCCGTATGTCTGTATATGTCCATGCTTTTAATGTTAAATCATTGTAACATTTCATTACGTCACACTGAGAATTCACTTTAAAGACTGAAATCATGGGAACGCCACTGAGTAGGTTTGTACTTGCTGGTTTGTACAGGGTGGCCAACTAAGAGTGCCAGATACTGTATCTGGGAACCTATTAATATTAAGGCTTGCGACAAAACCGTTATTACTAAAACGGCCAAGAGAAAAACCTGCAAAATATTTTCAAGTTTCTGAAATTGCTGCTAGGGGGTGTTACAGCAATCTTATATCTAAAGAAGTGATGTTTTTGTGAACTACGCTATATTAACCAAACAAAAAATACATCATCTTTAAAATCCAGGATAACCTGAACCTTTTTTTGTTATACAATCTTTACTGTATCTCTAAAAATTAAGTGGTGCGGTTTCTGTAAGAAACCCTGAAACTTCGAAACGGCTGAGCCGATTTCAACAAACTGAGGCTAGTTAAAAATGTTTGTTAGCTTCACATGTGGCCGCTTTAGGAAAGATAGCTAAACGATGTCTAAACAGGCTAGTGAAAACCACATCTCAATATCTTGTTCCTAACCTGAAATATAGGTCAAAACAAGTTTTAGCGGCGATTTCAGAAACTTGAAAATATTTTCCAGATTCTTCTCTTGGCCGTCTTAGTAAGAACTTTTTTGCCGCAAGCCTCTGCGTTGGATACATACCTGTACATACCTCTGGAATTAAAACTTAGTACAACGTTACCCACCATGACGAAATTTTGGAGAGGTTTTAGTGAGGATTCAGTCGAGTGGGAATCTTAGTAACAATGACGATAGGCACGCCGAAGAGATGAACGGAGAGATGAGCTGCTTCAGGCCAGTTTATGTTGCCAATATAACATAGAATTAGTGCTACATATGCCCACCAACTCCTAGCAAACTTACAAACCAATAGATTGACGTACATGCCTTTCATTGGAAACGATATCCAAGTAGCCAATTGTGCTGGGTGTACAATTGTTCGTTCAATTCAGTTATTGTTGAGTCAAGGGCAAATCAAATACGGCGAATAGGTAAAAGTAAATATTTACAAACGTTACAACGTAATTAACAATTCCAGTCCAATATAAAAAATAGTCTTCGTCATACAGCAGCAATTCTGGAATACCTGGTAATGGAGATGGTAGGACACCTTGATCCTGACAGATTGTATCCCCCAGCACTAATCAAATCCTGGGCTCTAATTTAGGGTAAGTCCGGGAGAGATCGACCACATTTTGGAAAAAATATTGTAAATATTTTGGTTTCTGAGGTACACGTTTTTTTTAACTGTTGAAGCATTACCTAAAGGGTTAGGATAGTAAATAAATCACAATTTAAGATATAATACAAACATAAATGTTTATTTCGAACTAAAAGTTTAAACATTGTAACTGGTCGATCTCACCCGGATGTCCGGGTTAGACCGACCACCAACTACGGGTGAGATCGACTTCGAAAAATAAGAAAACATAGAATAAGAAAACATGTTTGAACAGTATGATAATAAGGGTAGAATTAAATCGTATAAATACATTTAATTTTTTCGACTTCTCTTGTTAAATTTTCCGCATATATCGCAAATATTCTCGAATTTTGAGCGTCCATTATGAAACCAACGACTACAGTTCACACATTTGAGCCATTCGTCATTCTTAGTGGTTTTAAAATAATTTTCCCCACATCCTACGCATTCGTTTTCGTCCCATTCATCTGCTGATGTATCACTTTCCTGCAATACTGGACTTTCGCTCTCCGAATCTGAATCGTTTTTTTCTGTTTAACCACAGTTTTTTTCTGAATTGGACATTTGTTTTTTCTTTGTTTTCTTTTTATCCTTCTGAATCTCAATTCGTTGTGAACTGTTTAAAATAGTTGTAAGCTGCCTACCTCGTGTTTTGACCACTGCTTTTGCGTTAGTTTTGGGAACAAGTGGGAACAGTGAGAACATTTTCTAAAAGGGTAAAATAGTGTTTCACAAACAGACGGTTCATTCCAGTCGCTCTGTTAATAGAAATTCCTTCGGCTTTTCTAATCGATATATCAGGATGTCGACGTAAAAACGAGTTAAGCCAATCATAACCGGCCTTGCCTCTTTCTTTATTAAATGAGTGCTTCAGTTTTAATTTTTCTACAAGTTGAAAAGCCCATATTCTGACGGACTCCCGATCTGGTGCAAATCCAAATGTTTGCAATTTTTTATGTGTCGCACCAATTTTAGTTCTGCATCTTCTCGCAACGCTGATGACAGACCTAATCTGTGTTGTTTTGTTGCGTCCCCCTTCTTAATCCTATCTTTTAGCGTTGTTTTAGGTATTCCAAATTGTCTGGCGGCTTCATTTACACCCATTGTACGATTTTGTACACATTCTATTGCGTTTCTTAAAGAACCGGCACTCCATTTAGCTGTCTCTTCATTTTTCCTTTTGTAAGTCGTCAGCATTTTTGTTAATCCGTAACAATATTATTTTACAATAAATTTATTTTTTCAAATTGAGCTTTATTGTATCACTAATTTCCTTCAGACCGCCGAATATTTCATTAATACTGTTATTATTTCCATGGTCGGTCTCTCCCGCATTGATGTGGCCGTACTCTACCAAAGTTAAGGGAGAGATCGACCACCTTGTTAACCGAAGGAAAAATGATAAATGCCTACATTTTTGGGGTTATGTTATAGTTTGATGCATATTTTATCATCCAGTATTGAAACAGTTCAATTAAACTTACCAGTCTTTAAAATATCACGAACACAGTAAATCAGTCAAAAAATTGTCAAGTTTGCACAAATTTCTAAATTTAATTTGTACATTTATACTACTGTTACGGGCGTGTTTACGTGTTCCATGTAACAAGGTCAACTAATCGCATCATACATGTGAGTCACGGATTCATCTATTACTTTGTGGTTAAGTTACCGGCAGTGGTCGGTCTCTCCCGGTGGTCGATCTCTACCGAAATTACCTACTGCTTTTTGAAGTTGATGATAATGAAGAATCTAGGCATTTATTGTTGGTGTAACCATGTGGTATTTCTAGCTCTACTTTAGCTTAAAACGAAAACACGAGTTTCAATATACCTATAGAAAGCTCTGCTCACAAGGTAAGTCAAACATGTGGCATCCTTCACACCAAGCCAATATAAATTGCACCTCTATTTATTATGCCTAGACAAACGTTCACCGTGATTTTATACAAGGAAATATACATCACGGTCAGCAAACCAGCGACACTTCGCGTACGTGCTGGTAATTAATCCATCCAAAGCGTCGCCGGTTATGCAAACATGGCTCCATGATAATTGGATGTTTCGTTTGATACGCAGACCGCATACGGCAGGCTATATAACAGATTGTCGGATCATCATGAAACACTATAACCCATGTATCTAAAAGAAAAACTAATCCGAAACATATTCACGCATACTTCACGCGATCGGTATCCAGAACGCCGAGCACGTTACACGACCTGCAATGCTGCATGCACCGCTGTGTCGTCTCCCACTCCACCTTCCCGGTTTGGTATTGATCTTGTATATGGACTCAACCGATTCTCCCCAACAGCTGTGTTTCCAGTTTCTTGAAATATATCAACCCAACGTACCGATCACGCACTGAACACGCGGTGATTATTTTTTGGTTCAATGTCTTACTGAATAAACCTACTATAAATTGTTGTTTCAACTTACTGGCTACGTATAACCTCCTTCTGAGCGCAGTGACAATGTGGTTACTATCTAGTAACCCAGCAGCGCTCAGCACCAATACCTTTCCACTGCACATTGTCTTTCCATGTGCTATTTCTAGAGCACTTCGGGAGAATGCAGGTATCACCCTTAAACTAAATATATAATAGTTTAAAAGAAACTAAAAAAAACACGCTTTTATAGCTAACCGAACTAGAAAGCAGAAAATGATTTTTAGGTACAAAGTATTTATATTACAGTAGTCGATGGTCGAACAATCAATCATAATTAATGACTTTAAAATAAAATTATAATAAAATTTGAGTTATCAACAGGATAATTCAATTCAGAATAAGTTAAGTGAAAGTTTTACGGGCATTTTGATGTTAATTTTGTTGAGATTACGTGAGGTTGTAGCTTGTCGGTAAGTACTGTTAATACAGAATATTTTCTCTAGTTCTATAACTTAGGAAGTTTTCTTTCATTTACAAAATTTAAATTTTAAATTAGATGTGGAAAGTAAGGATAGAATCTCGTTTATTTATCTTTATTGAAAGTTTCCCAGATCCTACCACGAACCAGAAAATAAACGACAGTCGGCTGTTTGGGTGTTCCAAGGTGAGGAAAAGCCAACAAAGGTCATCCGTTCTCGAAGTGTTTCGAAAAAGATGGTCGCGACATTTGTGTCAAAAGCGGGTCATATTGCAACAACTCCTCTTAATGAGCTAAGAACTGTTACTGCGGATTGGTATCTCACCATTTGTTTGCCGAAAGTCATCACCGAACTTCGAAAAATCAACCCCGGAAGAAGAATCATTCTCCACATGCAAGCTCGCACACAGCCCAAAAAACAAGGCAGTATTTAACGGAAGAAAACGTGGAACTATTGGACCATCCTCCATATAGTCCCGATCTAACTACTAAAGATTTCTTTACTTTCTCGAAAACTAAAAACAGACTGCGTGATCAAAGGTTCCAGTCACCAGAAGAAGCAGTTGACGCTTTCAAAAACGCCGTTTTGGATCTGCCAGCAAACGAGTGGAATAAGTGCTTCGAAAATTGGCTCGAGCGCATGCAGATGTGTATTAATCTTCGTAGAGAATACTTCGAAAAACAGTAAAGTCATTTAAAACTACCCACCGTGTTGTTTTATTTCCATATGCAAAACTTAAAAGACATCCGTCGTATGTATTGATTTTGTACACGGAGAAAAAAGAATTAACAAGCCTATTAATAGAATCCTTATTGTTGTCAAAATTTTCTTTTATAAGTTGTTTCAATATCTAACCTATATTTTTTTACTAACAAAAAAAATCATTTATGAATTTTTTATGTACACAGAGAAAAGAAATACCTATTTTTCTGTTATAGAATTTTTTGATGTACACAGATAGTTAGCAAAAAATATAACTACCTTATTTTTGCTTAAAAATAAAAATTCGTTTGTTGTTCAAAAAATATAGGTAGTTTGTTTTAATTTTAATGAAATATGTTTTAAATAGAAAACAATGCTTACTATTACAATTTTTTTGTAAATAGAAAACAAGTTTTATAAAAAATAGCAATAATTTAAAAAATGTTTGTTTCAGAAAATACCCAAAAGAGAATATGGAAAATGGCCCATGGACGACTTGAAAAATGCAATGATATAATATCAAAATGGAAATATTGGCTTTAATGTGCCGTAAATTCGAAACTTCTAAACCACCATTTAGAAGTCATCTTTCAAAACAAGTTAAAAGAGGTGAAAAAGATCCACAACAGAACAAAAAGCGAATCGACGGAAGAATACCTGCACTTTCCGAAGAGTTAGAACAAGAGTTGGTATCTCATATCTTAAAGTTCGAAGAATTACTCTTTGGACTCACAGACGTACGCAAGCTAGCTTATGATTTAATGGCAGCCTGTCCAAGTCAGCCAAATCCCTTTAATAATAAGAAGAAAATTGCTGGTAAGAAACGGTATTATAATTTTGTCCAGGCACCCCGAGCTTAGGTTACGTCAACCAGACAACATTTCGATTGCGCGCTCTAAAGGATTCAATAAGACCAATGTATATGAATTTTTCGATGTGTTGGAAAAGATTGTTGACGAAAGTGGAATAGACGCTTTTCACATTTAGAACGTCGACGAAGCAGGTTTTTCGACGGTACAAAAAAAATCACCAAAAGTTTTGGCTCGTAAAGAAAAACATCAAGTTGGTTTTATTGCCAATGGAGGACGAGGCATTAATACAACGTTAGTATGTTGTTGCAATGCCGCAGGCACCTATGCTCCTCCCATGTTCATATTCAAAAGACAACGTATGCACGCAGCACTCATAAATGGAGCCTTTCCTGTGAGTATTGTGCAGTCCAGCGAAAGCGGTTACATTAACGCAGAATTATTTGTTAAATGGTTACAACATTTCATTAAATTTGTGACACCAAGTAAAAATGAAAAATGATCATTCTAGAAACTTACAGGCCATAATAGTTGCTAGACAAGATGGCGTAATATTACTGCAACGTCCGGGGCATACGACCCATAGGTTGCAGCCTCTAGATTTTGGAGTCCGTGGAGTCAAGCTACATGCAGGTCATGGCAAGCTGGCTTCGAACAAATGTTGGTCAAAAGGCAACAAACACACTTTGAAGTAGCTGCTTTGTTAACAGAAGCTTACACAATTTCTGCAACGACAAGTAATGCCGTAAATGGATTTAGAGCTTCGGGAGTGTGGCCTGTAAACCGAAATGTTGTTTCTGACACAGATTTTGTGGCAAGTGAAAACCTAATGATCCCAGACACTGTTGGACCCGAGAAGGAAGATACTCCTAGCGAAGTTACAGATGTGGCAAATGAAAATCAAGCCAATCTTGCCCAGGAAGATCCGGTCCCATCAACAAGTAGACTAACACAAGAAGAAAAAATGAGACCACATAAAGATAGTAAGACTGTTTTAATTGAAAAAATAAGTCCACTACCAAAACCAAAAATTGTCAAAGAATTGGGTGAAAGGGCTAGAAAAAGGTGGCACTACTGCCAGAAAGCCCTTATAAAAATGAGCTTGAGGAAAAATATGCCTTAAAGGTACGAAAAGGTGTAATGAAGAAGGCTAAAGAGACTGCCAAAAAAGATATTTTTCAAACCGAAAAGTCAAAACAAAATACTAAAAAAGCTAAGCCTTCTAATAGAGAAGATAAAATTATAATCGAGGCTAATGCAGATGACTGGTTTTGCACAATATGGCAAGAATCTATAGTTGAAGTTATGATAAAGTGCAACAAATGTGAAACATGGGCACATGAAATGTGTACTGACTTATCACGACTTAAGGACGACTACGTGTGCGACTTCTGTCTTTAAACTTATTTTTATAATTTAAAATGTTCTTTTTATCTAAATTACTTAATAAAACTACTGATTTTATATATATATATATATATATATGAGCAGTAGTCATTGCCAAAGCCAACGACCAGTTGGGCACAAAATACAATTAATTGTTAATTGGGAAATTGGCAAAACTTTTAGGATTAAGTTGACTCTTTTGACGATAAAATCAAGCTTTCGGCATTCTCTATGGAGCCATCATCAGGATCCTGAAAACAAAATTGTGATGCTAGCAAAGAAAACAGGACAGATTTAAAAAGTAAGACAACTTACTCGTCGGTGAGGTTGCAGCCACAAGGTGTTTCAGAAAGAAGAAGCCCAATGTCCCCGTCCTTTTGTTTTTAAACTGATCACAAGTTCGATCTTCTCTACGTTCTTTCTGAAACACCTTGTGGCTGCAACCTCACCGACGAGTAAGTTGTCTTACTTTTTAAATCTGTCCTGTTTTCTTTGCTAGCATCACAATTTTGTTTTCTGAATCCTGATGATGGCTCCATAGAGAATGCCGAAAGCTTGATTTTATCGTCAAAAGAGTCAACTTAAGCCTAAAAGTTTTTCCAATTTCCCAATTAACAAGTAATTGTATATATATATATATAGTTTGATTTTGTTTATGTGCCAACAAATGCCTGTACTACCTACCTAATAAATATTAAAACCTAAGAGCTTGATGGTACGATTTAGGAACCCGGTAGTATGATTTAAGCAACTCGTGGCCTAAATCGTACCTTTTGTAATCTCTTACAAAAACTCTAGTTTATTAAGAGTTAAATAAAGTAATAAACTATAAGAATTGCTTTCAGGTGTTCAAAAGTCCAATCCATCGTTCTGAATAAAAAAAATCAACTAGGACCGACAGTCCTTAAGAAAAAAAGAGTGATACGATATAGGCAACCTTACCTTACATACATATAGGCCAAGCTTATATGTTACATAAAAAAGTGTGTTAAAAACGACTGGAAAGTGGCTAAGGATGCAACATGTGTATTTTGTTTGAAGCATACCAATAGTAAAAAGAGAGGAGGTGATTTAATCCTAGAAGCTTATTAACTAACAGTGATGAAGTCACTGAATGCGATAGTGAAGGAGTTCAGCCTCTTAAGCTTCCATACCTTGCAAAAGCAAGTGGTGAGGTTGAATTGAATTTTTAGGCAGGATCTAAATATTTCTAAAATTTTTGCAATTTGATTTAATTTAGGGAAGGTACAATGGATCCGCGGTAATCTAACAAACGATTTTCAAAGTGATGTCGGAAAATTTAGAAGTCAAAGAATACACTTGAACTACGAATTATACCACATAATTATACTAAGTGACATATAAATCCGAACACCCAGTTTAAATGGTTTTATTTTAATAAAATTTTGTATAAGTACTTAATGAAGCATAATAAGTAAATGATAAAAATTTCAAAGTGATTGCACTGCTTTAAAGCCCTTTGACCTTTAATAATGTGTGGATGCACCCTGATGTGCTACGCATTCTCCAACGCGCCTAGGCCTGCATCTGATCAGGTGGTCAATGTCCTCCTGTGGTATATCATTCCAGGCAACCACCAACCCTCTCGAAGTGCTTCTAGAGTCTGAGGAGGACGTTGCAAATTGAGCAATCTCCTACCCATCATATCCCACACGTGCTCAATTGGGGATAAGTCGGGAGATCTTGGTGGCCATGGTAACAATGTGACATCATTATGTTGAAAGAAGTCTATTGTGACTCTTGCAACATGTGGTCGGGCATTATCTTGTTGGAAAGTTGGATCTGCCAGGGTGTCAAGATAGGGTAAAAGATGGGGTTCTAGAACTTCGTGGATATAACGCCGCGCGTTCATGTTACCTCTGATGAAGATTAAAGCATCCCACAAACCGGCGCGAAATAATCGCGGCGAAGTATTCGCAACGAAATTCAGAGCGAAATTCGCAATCTGTTTCGCCTGTTTATTCATACCAAAGCGTCTTATTCGCTCCGCGAACGTGAAGGTTTCGACAGGTTGCGTACATTTTATTTTTGCCTTTTGCAATGAGCTCGTCATCAGAAGAAGAGGAGGCACTTCTATTTCTTGCTTTAGAAGAGGAACAAAATGCACGGTAAGTTATGTTTATTTAACGCCATTTGATAGTGGGTATGTATTAAGTTTAACGAAGTACATAAAACAAATATTTTCTTGGAACTTGGAACGAAATAAATTTGGGGAATACCATACCTTGATGCCACAACTTCGGCTGGATGAACAGCGCTTTTACTTATATTTTAGAATGACTCCAGAGTGTTTCGATGAAATATTGAACTTGGTGAAAGATGAAATACGAAAATCTGACAAATTATCGTGAAGCTATTTCGCCAGAAGAACGACTTGCTATCACACTCAGGTAAAAAAATTATATGTATTAAAATTAGTAGGCTTATCGAATACGAAAACTTCAGGGATCGTGAAATAAATATTTTATTGTAATAATTGGACTACATGTTGCCACTAGGATTAAATGTTGCTAAATAATTCGAGGCAGAATTTGCCTCCTCTGTTGGGTATATTATTGGAGTAAACCCAGTGCCGCTTGGGAAGGACGACATACTACTATCATATATACTTGAAGAATTCTGGGTAGGCGCTGAAGACATTTCTTCAATATGTTCAAATTCTTCGTGCGCTATTAATTCGGCTATTTTTAGTTTTATTCGGGCTTGACGCTTTAAGGGAAGTGTTTTTACAGTCTGTGCATGTGCCAAGAAAAGTGAATCAGTGGCCTCGTTCTCTTTTGTAGGTTTTTTACCTTCAAAATAAATAATGAGCTGTTGTACAGACGAAGATGGTGGTTCATAGCGTTTTCTGCTCGTCTTATATTTTGGTGTAGTTGCAGTCTGCGGAAAGGTGTGCCCTGGAGTAGTCACTGCTGTAGTGTTCAATGAAGAAGGTGGTGCTGTCTGTGTTGCCGAGGCGTTCTGTGCATCTTCTGCACCTACATCAGCATTTTCATCTTCTCCATGGCCGCGGTCTTCCAAATTTTCGGTTTCTACATTTCCAGCCCTTTCCTGATATATATTTGAGTTAAATTCGGCAGTCTCATAATGTATGACGTCAATATCTTTCACATTAGACGACGTTTTGGCAAATGCCAAAAAAGGACGGAAAAATTCCATGTAGTCAGCCCACTGCCATTTCTTTATGTTGCCCACGGCTTGACCGGTCTTTGGTTTGGTAGATTTTATATATTTTGCAAATGTGTCCCTGATATTCTTCCACCTTTTTTTTTACTTCATCACCTAAAAACGATTTTCTTTATAGATTCCTTGCCACTGGTGACACCTTCTATACCATTGGGCATAGCTTTCGACTTGGCTTTACAACAGTGAGTGCAATCGTAACCGAAGTCTGTGAAGCGATATGCAGACATATGGAACATATATATTTACCAGAACCAACAGAGAATATATGGAAAAAATCTGCTGAAGAATTTGAAAATAGATGGGGATTTCCCAATTGCATTGGCAGCGTGGACGGTAAACATGTAACAATCAAGAGACCTAACAACAGTTGCTCCAATTACTGGTGCTATTTACACAAATATTCAATAGTACTTATGGCCACTGTTGGCCCGGACTATAAATTTATATGTGTTGATATTGGTGGTATCGGAAAAAATAGTGATGGGGGTATTTTCGAAACCTCAAACATGGGAAAACGATTTGAACAAAATTTAATGAGTGTCCCTGCACCTAGATTTCTCCCTGGGCAAAATGAAATCTGCTCGTACGTCTTAATTGGTGATGAAGCATTTGCTTTAAAACCATACCTTATGAGACCATTTCCTTATAAGCAGACTTTAACAGACGTCAGAAAAGAAAAATACAATGTGAGACTTTGTCGAGCTAGAAGGGTCGTGGAAAATGCGTTTGGTATTTTGTCTCAAAAATGGCGAATATTTTACAGGCCATTAGAAACTAAAGTAGATACTACTATTCTAATTGTACGTACGGCATGTGTTTTTCAATTCTTAGATCCCCCAGAACCCGTGCTTGGAGCTTTTACTGATATAGCAAATGATCCTCGGCGGGCAGCAAGGCTAGCATTTTCTACTCGTGACAAATTCGTAAATTATTTTAATTCTGATATGCCTATGCCCAATATATAGAATGTTCGTTTTCACATTTGTGTAGACTGTAAATTATTTAACGAGTTAATAAAAAATATTAGGTACATACCATTTGTATTTAATTCTTTTCCTATTTACATCCAAATCTTGTCTTTCTTTCTCACATTCCTGTATTCATCGTTCGACAAATCATACAAACAAGGATACTTTTTCACTATTTCTATCAATAATTCCATTTTTGCCATTGCGAATTTTTGAAGAACGGCGTCAAAAACGCGGTCAAAGGCGAACTGAAATACGCCGCGATAAAAACGCTGGAACAATCGCACTCGCTTCGCACAAGTCTGAGTCTGCCCGTAAACCGCCGCGTTTTAATCTGATCGCGAATTCATCGCCGCGAAATTTTCGCAGCCAAAGCGAATATTTCGCGCCGGTTTGTGAGATGCTTAAAGGTGACCTGGAACCATAAGCTATAGTACCCCAATCCATAACTCCAACAGCGTGATGAACATGTCTTTCAACAAAAAACTGTGGATTCCTCCTTTCACCACGTCGCCTTCTAACCCTGGCACGACCATCGTGCATGCCTAAACAAAATCGAGACTCGTCACTAAAGACAATACTGTTCCATTCCTGATCCCAGAGTGACCGTTGTCTGCACCACTCAAGGCGATTACGTTGGTGTTCTCGAGTTAAAGGGAGGACCCAGTGTGGCCGGTATGAAAACAAGCCAAAACTTCTCATTCGTCGGTAAACACTTCGCATGCCAATAGGTCTTCCGTGTTATGCAAACCATTCATTTGCCATGGACCTGGTAGTGGAGAAACGGTCCCTTAAGGCCAATAATCTTAGGCGGCGATCTTCACGGTCTGTTGTTCTACGGCGGCGTCCAGTGCCCCTTGCTCTTTGCGTACGGCCTTATCGAAGCCATGCCTGACAACACCTAACCACAGTGTCTACACTTCTTTGCACTCTAACTGCAATTGCCCGAAAGTCCAGCTTCCCGAAGTCCCACTATACGGCCCCTATCAAACTCACTAAGTTGACGAAATCGTACAGGTCTCCGTACTCTAGGCATCGTAACCGATCGTAAAGGATGTCAGGAACCAAAATCCGCCAACGTTGATTCTTTACTGCGGCTGAAATATTCATTTTTAGAGCGTTAGTGAATTAAAAAAAGCAGTATAAAAACCGGAATGTCCAACTGATAAGGCTGAAAATTTTTTCACTTGTTATTTACAGTAAGATAAATACATTCACCAACTTTTATTAAAATAAAACCATTTAAACTGGGTGTTCGGATTTATATGTCACATAGTATATATGGAATTCAGTAGATTAAACATCACACTGGAGAGCTAATGTTTTATTATAAAAAGATATTGAGTGACAAAAAAAGTTAAACACTTACGTATGCTTATCCGATTTTAATAATTTTTGGCAAGATAAATCAATAATAATAATAATCGTCTTTACTGACCAAAACATGGTACATTACATAATCGATATATAAAAAGTTTTTAAATTCTAATAAAAATACGTAGGTGTCTACCATTGTTTGTCACTCAGTATAAGATCATCAGTAATATAGATCTTACAAGATATAATACGAGGGATGTCTTTTAAGCTTTGCATATGGAAATAAAACAACACGGTAGGTAGTTTTAAATGACTTTATTGTTTTTCGAAGTATTCTCCACGAAGACTAATACACATCTGCATGCGCTCGAACCAATTATCGAAGCACTTATTCCACTTGTTTGCTGGCAGATCCAAAACGGTATTTTTGAATGCGTCAACTGCTTCTTCTGGTGACTGGAACCTTAGACCACGCTGTCTGTTTTCAAGTTTAGGGAAAGTAAAGAAATCGGTAGGACTTAGATCGAGACTATATGGAGGATGGTCCAATAATTCCACGTTTTCTTCCGTTAAATCCTGCCTTGTTTTTTTGGGCTGTGTGCGAGCTTGCATTGTCTTGGTGGAGGATGATTCTTCTTTCGGGGTTGATTTTTCGAAGCTCGGTGATGACTTTTGGCAAACAAATGGAGGTATACCAATCCGCAGTAACAGTTCTTTGCTCATTAAGAGGAATTTTTGCAATATGTCCTGCTTTTGACACAAATGTCGCGACCATCTTTTTCGAAACACTTCGAGAACGGATGACTTTTGTTGGCTTTTCTTCACTTTGGAACACCCAAACAGCCGACTCGTTTATTTTCTGGTTCATAAGAGTAAATCCACAATTCATCACCACTAAAAATATTGTACATACTTTTTGAGTTTCCGGAATTGAAACGGTCAAGCGTTTTTTGACACCAATTAACCCTGGCTGCTTTCTGCTCTTCAGTCAACAGATTGAGTTTGCGCACAGCATCGACGGTTTCCTGGGTTACTGCACCCATCCTGGAATCGGCGCTAAGATTCACCCGTCTACGCTTGAATTCTCCATAGTAACGGGAAATTGTCGACTGATGTGGCGCTTCGTTGCCGAAAACAGACAACAACTCAGCGAGGCATTCTTGTTGCGATAATTGTCTCTGAAAGTTGAAATAAATTATGGCGCGAAACTGTTCTCAGTTGAGTTCCATTTTTCTAATGACTTGGTGACACTTAAAGATTCACTGTAGTGAGAACACTGCACGTATTGTTGTGAAACTTTGAATTTACTCTAAGTTTACTAAAGAGTAAGGTTAAGATTCGGTACTGACGTTCGATCCGCGCGGCCTACTATGTTTCTATATGCAAAACTTAAAAGACATCCCTCGCAATTAAATAATAATAACAAATACGGCTTTATTGGCCGAATAGCATATAAGCTATTCTACCACTTAACGGGAAAGAAATAAAACTTCTTTAAAGCAATAAAATATTCCTTATCCCTATAACTTTTTTTGTTTTGAGTTGTTGAGATGCGAAGCTAAGGGCCGTATGGTGAGTCGTTCCTGCAATTGTAGGACGCCTTTATGGCCTCCTTGATTTTCATAGTTTTCTACTGTTCCGTGTCAGCGCTCTATTTTGAGGTTATGTGGCAAATAACTATTTGTATCAAATTGTTCATGCTCTCAATTTATTATTTGTTATATCAGCCTGAAATTTCCTACAATTTAAAAAGATATCATAGCCTCTGAATAAGAGAGCGTTGACGCGGACCAGTAGAAATCTAAAAATACTCCAGATGAGGTTACACAACTTCTCTCTCTTCTCTTTCCTCCCTTCCCGCCCCTAACTTTCCTTTCCTTCTTTCTCGTTTTCCTATTCCTTTCTAGCAAGTCTGGAGTCTTGGGGACCCCCTGGATTCGCGCCTGCTGAAGCTATCGACATCGAAACTATCGCTTGTAGATCCGTAACCGCGTAGTATTTATAGCGCTACCTTAACGTAATGGAGGCAAAAACGACTTCTAGAAGCACACGGAAACCTCTGTTAATAAAGTGAGTCAAGCACGTGCCCTCTTCCACACTAATCCAGTACAAATTGCATCTCTATTTATTATGCCTGAACAAATGTCTGCCGTGATTTTATCCGAGAAAACATTCATCACGGTCAGCAGACCGGCGATTCTTCGAGTACGTGCTAATTAGTCAATTCCATCCAAAGCGTCGTCCGTCATGCAAACATGGCCCGTCATAGTTGGATATCTCGTTCGATTCGCAGACTGCATGCGGCTTTATTGCTCCTCACGGAACTCTAATTGTTGTTTCAACTTCCTGGTGAAACAGCGCACTGCCAGTGTCGGAAGCTCGATGTCTTTGACGAGCGGGTTGTTCAGGATTGGTTGGCAAGGATGCGACATGAGTGAGAGTAATAATAATGGTGAATGTGATAGTGAACTAGTTCTGCTTCGGCCGCCGAAACTTACACACCCGCCAAAAGCAAATGGTGAGGTTAGATTGAAATTTAACTTTTGTTTACGTTCTCATCCAGTTATAGGCATAATCAAATATCGCGATGGAACGGAAGTAAATGTTTATTAACGGTACATGATGTGAACAATTCGAGCCCAATTCGTAATTTTGACGGGTTACAGTACGAAAAGTTGTCCTCTTCAAACAGTAGCAATCGCAATATACCTGATATTGAAATCTAGGACTAAAAGTAAACACGTGGTTGAACATTATCGTGACAGTTACCGTTACCGAAATATTGTCACTATATAGGCGATAGCTTTTTGGAGGCATGCTGAGGTTCCTTAACAGAATTTTGTCTCCTTAAAATGTGATAACGGAAAGTGGATAGTTTCCTTTCCATCATATCCCACAAATGTTCGACAGAATTTGAGTTCGGTGAACAAGGTGGCCACGGCCACGACATTGCTTCTTGAGGAAAGTCCGTAGTAGGACAAGCAATATGAAGACGTGCGTTGCCTTGCTGAAAAAGGACATGTGGACGGCCCTCTAGGTACAGCAGCTTGTAGGAGATCATGGCAACAGTAATATTGCCTTGAACAAAGAGTAGCGGTGCTGTGCTACCATAGGCAATAGTCCACCAAACCAATACTCCAGCAGTACTGTCTAGATACCTCTCAACAGCAAATTCAATATCACGCCGTTCTCCACGGCGGCGTCTTAAGCCTAGTACTCACTAGTAGACATGTCTCGCGATTTTGGTCTCAGAGACATGTCTAAAGTTATCTCAGTATGTCTCGGTAGACATGTCTATAGACCAAATCCGGTCTACGGGGCGGTTGCGAAACTAAAAATCGCAGGTCTCAAGTCTCCTGATTGAATTGGGAGACTTGATGCAACGTTGGGATACGTTGCGCAACAAGGTGATAGTGAGTACCTCGCGTCTATAGACGAGACATTCCCCAGTCCCACTCTCGCGTTGTAAACAAGTGCATGCGGTCTCTGCTGTTTTTGTTCACCATGTGGTCAAACGACAAAGTTTTAAAATTTATTGAAGACTATCATACCTCGTTTTGTTTGTGGGATGTAACGAGTCCCGATTACAAGAACCGGGTGAAAAGAAGAGCGGCCCTGGAATCACTGGCTGCAAAGCACATGGTTTCAATCGGAGAATCGAAGAAATAGAAAAAAAAATACATAATTTAAAAACATCGTTCAACCGGGAGCGAAAGAAGATTCTTCCGACGAGTGGGTCCTCTCCCAAAAAGTCCTCCTAGTTTGCCCAAGATTATTTGCTATTCCTACTGCCAGCGAATGAGTCAAAGGGCAGCCGCAACACGGACTTGGATGATACACAGAGTCAAAACAAGGAAGATGTAAGTAAAAATTACTTTATTAAATTACATTTATTCTTTACCTACGATTTTTTTCATTGTTTTTCGTTATTACTTTGAATTAAATCAACCTATTATCCTCTATTCTATTTTTTAAAATAATGATAACTAATTTTTGACCGCAGTTAATATTTCTATATGTAAAGCAAACCAAAAACTGAATAGCTTTACGATATTGAATCGTATTACCAAGCTACCTCTCCCTCTTGAGAAACAAAGTATTCACAAAATTCATCACGAATTTTATGCAAGTTTGGTGAACATCTTCGAGGAGCGTTGCGGAGATCCATCAAACGATTCTCTTGATGATTAATTTCCCTTCTCCAAAATCCTTCAATTACATTTCCATCACCATCGTACGAGTCCAAGCTTCCTGGTGGGGTGTAGGCATATCTTGACTCCTACGTAAAAAATTGTGCAGGTAGGCGCAAGCCAACCCGACGGACTCCACTTTATTTGGCTGTAGAGCTATCGGCTTAAGCAACACCCGAAATTTGGAAGACATGATACCGAAAACATTTTCTATTATACTTAGAGCTCTGCTTAGCCTATAGTTGTATATTCTTTTTGGAATTTCCAGTGTACGACCAGGGTACGGTTTCATCAAATAACTAGACATAGCAAATGCATCATCTCCCACAAGAACGTATGGAACAGGTTCCGTTCTTCCTGGTAATGCGTCACTTCTAGGTACGTGTGCGGTATTGTTTTCTAGATCCTTGTATAGTGAAGTACACTTAAAAACACCCCCATCAGAAATACGTCCTTGGCATCCAACATCGGCGTACAATAAGTTGTAGTTGGCGTCTGCAACGCCAAGGAACACAATGCTGAATGTACCCTTGTAGTTGTAAAACAAGCTTCCGCTGTGTTGTGGGGCCACCATCTGAACGTGCTTACCATCAATGCTACCTATATAGTGTGGAAAATTCCATCTACACTGAAATTCCTGGGAAATAGCTTTCCAATCTGCTTCGGAAGTCGGTCTCTGAAACAAAAAAAAATCATAAATTGTTTATAAATATATTTTTTGCATCAACTTTTGAGGGAATCTGAGGAAACGATGGGATATTTTTAATAAAGATTATGTTAACCTTTAGTACATCAAATATAAAATTAATATTATGGCCTTATGGGCTTACAGGGTGGAGGGATACAGAGTAGGCCACAGTTTTCGCCATCCGCCTCCTAGATCAGTCCTCAGCGGAGGCTTTCGCCATATTTGCCGGGCTCCCTGTTGCTCACACTAGGTCCCGAGCGAAGCAAATCAATTTAAGATTATTTTATTCTGTTTTATAAAAAAAACTATTCTGTTAATGTCATGGTGGCTCATATTTTGAACGAATTTCTTTTTGTTTCAGGACGTCCTGTTGGATGCTGCTGATAATCAGAAACAAGATGAAGCAAATGGAGATGCAGAATGTGAGGACAAACACCCACCATTCAAAACCCCAAGATGGACTCCCAAACGCGTCCGACAAAATGAGGACTCCACTGCACAAGAAGCTGTGAACTGCCTCAAGTCTCTATCAAAAGTTGTTACAGCCAAAGATGAGCATTCAGTATATGGAGATTAGGTTGCAAATAAAATAAGAAATTGTGACAAGTCCAGGATGGAGATCTCTTTGGCTCAGCGCTATATAAATGATATTTTATTTCGATTGGACATGGGTCTGTTAGCTGCTGACCTTCAGACCATTCAGATGCCACATCCACCTTCCACTTCCAGTTCTTCATTCACATCCCCAACTTCATATGTTTCGCAAAACACTTGTTTTTCGAATCCTTCTACACCTTCTGCTAGTCTAGAAGTAGTTGGAGATGTTCAACTTGAACAACAATTGGAGTCAAGGGATACAATGAGCAATGACATTCGCGATTTTGTTGCGAATTATACCACTTTATAAATGTTTCGCATTGATTTCATAAAATGTCTAATTAAATTAAACATGTTTTGTGCAAAATAAAATTATTTTTGTATACATACCTTTATATGTTGTTTTAATGACGAGATAATCGCTTCGCAAACTTCCGGTACCATTTTCGATATTACCTGCTTAGAGATTCTGAAGGTGTACATGAGACTACTGAACGAGTCTCCACTTGCCAGGTAACGCAGTGTGACTGCCAGTCGAAGAGAAGCTGGGATGGTTTCTCTAAATTTTGTATCCTGCTTCATTATTTTTCCTCCAACCATCTGAAGCAATTCTTCAAAGTCAGAAGGTATCAGCCGGGTGAAATTACGAAGACCCATGTTGTCCTCCAATCTTAATTTATTTAGTAGTTCAGAACCGAACCTAGGTCCTTCTGCGAACACTTCGCGCGTCCACCAACGTTTACGTTTTCGCGCTTTTTTACTAGAAAGTATTACTAAACAGGCACTTATTGCGCACAAAGCAAGGTCCGCCATGGTGGTTGGCGAAGATGAGACTAGAAAAATTCACATCACAGTGTGGACGCTAGACGAGGCAAAGATCGGTGTCTCTACACCATGTCTATGTCTCAAGTCTAGACGGTCTCTAGACCTCCTAAAGAAAATCGCGTAACGTGGTCTCCAAGTGAGTACTTATCTTTAGTGTACGGCCTGATTGAAGACTGCGTTCTGCGGTGGGTGCAGCGTGGAGGCCTAGTATCCAGGAGCGTTCTTTGTCTGGCCTCAGTGAACAGTCAGCGTTCAGTTGTGATACACGTATTTTGATCATCATGGCTTCATATGAAGTTTTTTATATGTGTTCAGAAGAAAATTCATTTTTGAAGTGTGACTTGTCGAGCAAGTAAGGCCCAAGTCATATTGTTAAGCAAAGGAAAACATCAGGAGAATTTTCTACATTGTATAAAACCCTACGATCAGACAAAAACAAATTCTACGAGTATACAAGTGTCACAATTCGACTACACATTGGAAAAACAGATGCTCGTATAAAAGTAACAGCTACTAACTTCCATATATCAGATTCGTCACTTAAGATGGATTACGCCAATCTGCCTCACAATGTTTCCGTTCTCTGCTCCAGCTGAAACGTTGGCGACAGTGGCCCGCAGTCAGAGGAAGCACTAACCGTGGATGGTATGAAAAAACTCCAAGGGCTCGAATGCGGTGACAGAGTGTACGCACAGTAAGAGCTCTACTTTCTTCTAAAACCATTGGTCAGCGATCTAACGCGTAGTGGCAAAACGGTCTCATCAGGCTAGTTGTCCGAAGCGCCTGTGGTATGCCTCGGAGGACCAATTATCCTTCTTCGTGTTCCTCTACCATCTTATATCCACACACGACACACGCACTACCGTCATGGCAGTACAATTAACACGGCGGCCAATTTCGCGATAGGACAAATCTACATCTGAGTAGGCAATAATTCTACCACTGTCACAGTGGCTAACATGGTGATAATTTGGACGTCCTCGAACTCGAGGCATTTTGTTATGCTTAACACTAGTAAATGAAATGGTATTAACTAAAAATATCTGTACTACTCAGCTCCTATAAAATACCTTCTTGAGAAAAACTAAGAGAACATTAAGACATTGTTGCCACAGCATGCTTTAAATATAGTCATTATCTTGCCACTAGGCTCACCTTCAGGAATCGTGAGTATAATTTTATAGAAATACAATTCATGCAAATCCAGAAAATCTGTTATGTTGCACACCTGCGTTGTTGGATACGTTAAGGGTTTATTATACAGGGTGGCCAAAATCTTTGAAGTTGAGTCATTAATTTTCAGATAATGATTGTAGAAGGAAGATAAACCAAAATATGTGTGTAAAAATAAAAAAAAATCTAACAAAAATGTTACCTTGTTTTATAAAGTATCCTCCCGACAAGTATTTCAGTGCCGACCTGTATTTGATCGTGCGGTCTTGGAGCACCGGCCCTATGAGGTTGTCACCTGATTCGCGAGCCCTTTGTACTACATTAACAAAGGCACGAGGGGTTAGTTGCACTCGATTGGGAAACCGATCCGCATAAATCCGTGATGCCGCGGCAGCATTTTGTAAAGACTCCCCCCCGTAAATAAGAATCATGTCCACAAGTTCAGCATTTTCGTAAACATGTGCCATTTTCTATTTCGTTTGAGCCACGCAGCAAACACCACTATTCACTCACGCGTTACCGACTGACACATTAACCGAATATAACTGAATAAAATTGTAGTAAAAACATCGTGATGAGCGTTTCAAATTCTTTCGCTTTTTTGTTTCCGATGCGATGAACCGATAAGGCGGATTATATCCGTTGTTGCCAAACACGAGCACATAATATTATTATTGAGACAGGGCGGTACTCAAACTTCTAAAGGGCTATTAACTTTGCTACTTTAATTTTACCACAAAAATATTAAAGGAAAAAACATTTCTTTTGATCCGATCTACTCACTGTTAAAATAAATGACTCAACTTCGAAGTCACCCTGTATAACTGGCTGGTTTAAAATTGCGGGTCATTTTTGATACACGGATTTCAATAGGTGGAGCCGTAGTAGTTGCTTGAAGCACAAGTGTCCAATTCATCATGGCGCACTAGACGAGCCCACAGCGCGTCCGTATTGTTGAAGCGTTTTCCTTGAATAATGAGACGATTGTTGCAACGATTCGGAAGCTACGACAAGATTTCGGTCGAAATAATGTGCTCAGTGTCAACGCGGTTCGTCAGTTGATGCGAAAATATTAACAAACAGGTAAAGTTAAAGACTTGCCAAGGTCACGCCGAACTGGATATTCGTCGCATGTCATTATGCACTATTTTAAAAAAAGACTTGCGATTGCGGCCAGACAAAATTCAGTTGACTCAAGAACTACAGCCTAGCGACCATGAAAAATCAGTTAATAAGCAGAATTATCGTATCTGGGCATTAGAGAACCTCGTGTCATCCGTCAATGACCACTGCATCCTTGTGGGGTCACAGTTTGGTGCGGTGTTTGGTATGCGAACAGTATTATCGAAACGTTTAGTTTCTCGATTTGGCCACCAAGGTCAGCGGATTTAACAGCTCCTGACATTTTTATGGAGATTTCTGAAAAATAGGGCTTATGCAACAAACCAAATACTGTAGATCAGCTAAAGAACAATATTACGGAAGCGTTTGAAAACATCCCTCCCGAAACCTAACAAAAAGTGATGGAAAATGTAATCTAGTCGGCTCAGGCGCAGCTTCTAGTTGTCTGATGTTATTTTTCATACATAATTTCTAAGTTTCAATGAAAGATTAAGTTGAAAAAAATTATATTTCACTTCATTTCACCATTATTGACGATATAAATCAGTCAGTTACAAACAGGTAACCCTGTTCATAATCATCTTTGTGAAGTCTTGCTACTTATAGGCTATACTTTGTGGTACAAGGTGAACAAAAATTATTCTAGAGCACTTATACCGCGCGTTAAAATGTCGCTTCACGGTTTCCCAAAATATTTGATCCTTTCCAGACTTTTGAATTTGTAGTCTAGTCTTCCAGGAGAAGATTGTACCAAATTAAAGCTCCGCAGCCTTTTTCGTTTTCCTCCAGGTTACTCACTCCGATCTTTGTCAGCAAAAAGAAGGCTAACGCTTCGTCGGCACGTGAAGGTGCTAATTTCACGTACGATTTAATTTAATAGTCGGCAGGCATACGACGCGTCGGGATCCTGAGCGTTGTCAGCACCCTGGCGTCGGGAAATTCCGTTTCGTCCCTTTCACCATCCGGCGATCCCGGCACCGGTCCTCTCGATTTTCTCGACTCTATTTCGATTGTGATTAGATAGGACGTGTCAAGCGCGGTGTCGATACGCCCAGGAATTTCCAATCTGAATTACAAGTCATTCGGGGCCTTATGCCCAAAGATAATCCAGGAAACAAGAGCCTCAAGGATCAGGGAAATTAATTGGCAAAATCACGCAAGCATCTTTAAGCAATTAGTGTCAGCTGATAATAGCTACCTGTGAAATAAGTTCAAGGTGCGTCATGTATTACCTTTTTCTTATTTGAAAAATCAACACGTTTCTTACGAGGTGAAATCGAATTTTTTTATTGATAAATGAAGGTTGGTTTATGCCATTTATGTATGAAAAATAACATCAGTCATGTGACCATCGCGGCTTGGTTTACAGGCCAACATCCGAACATCAAAATTTTCAATGACTTTTCCCAGAATAATCGTGTCTATGACCACAATTTCAGTCCGAATATTGCGCTTTAGGTCTTGAATTGTTCGGGGACCATTCGCATATACTTTTCCTTTAAAAAATCCCCAAACAAAATAGTCAAGAGGTGTTAATTTGCACGATGTCTGGGGCCAACTGACATCTGAGTTTCGTGAAATTATGCAGTCTTGAAATTTCATGTGCAATAAGGCGATTGTTTGGCGAGATGTGTGAGCCGTTGCTCCGTCTTGATTTAAACCCGTAGCCACAGACGCGGAGTCAATTTGACTATGTATGTGGAGATTTTCCGTTTTCTCCTCAGTCTATCTGTCCAGGCGTAGAGGTACCTTTTCATCGAGTAGTATTGAACAAGCACTGAGATACAGTAGTTGCGTTGATTGTGTACGTTATTTACATTTCATTACGACTTGAATTTCCGACGGAGTCAAAAGGACTACAGGTCTGTGATAATGTTATATTCTCATTTCTGTATTTCATGAACATGCTCGGCTTAGTTCAGGTTTTTCGGATGGATTTTGATAGCAAAGCGGGACCCTCAAAAGTAGTTAGATATGGCGATTCGGACTACGAAGAAACTTTGCTGAAATGGGCTGCTGAGGTGGATGAGGAAAAAGAAAACGGCAGTGGTATTGATTCAGATGCCGAATTGATTTACAGTGATAATGAGAGCGTTCGGAACAAGAATGGACAGAGATTGCGAAATACTTTCTACTAAAGAAGATGAGACATCGAACCGCGTTTCTACAGGAAAGTATTTCTATGGAAAAAAAAACCGTTTCAAATGGTTTGCGTGGACTGTGCAAAATGAAAAAATTACTTCGAAAACCTACTGCACGTTTCCAGAATATTACCTTCACGTTAACTTCTGATCGTTATAAGTATTCTCTTTTATGTTTTTTTATGAAAAGTACTTAGCAACTTCATTTTTTTAAGCTAAAAAGTTAACAAAAATGTTATTGTAAAAATTCACGTAAAATTATGTACAATAAACATATTTCTTTAAAATTTCGTTGCTTTTTACTGAAGAAATTTTTCTATTAAAAACGATATTAAAAAAGACACTATTTAAGTAATATAAGATAAAGGTAAACATGTTTTTACTTTCCAAATTTTTTCCATGGCTTTCATTATAGGAGTCATTGTGACGCCACGTCAGTGGTAATGTTCAATTTATTGGCCGTCTATGGTTACGGGTTAACCAAAGATCATCGGCACCAATACTATCCAATTGTGGCCACCAAAAGTCTGTTAACATGCCGCGATAACGTTCCCCGTTGACGGTAATGGCCTTTTCTTCGGCATCTTCAAAGAAGAATTGTCCACCAGCCCATAATCCGCACCAAACAGTCACTTTTTCAGGATGGAGAGGTTGTTCATGATATTGTTGTAGATTTTCAGCCGCCCAGAATATGCAATTTTGCATATTTACGTACTCATTGAGGTGAAAATGAGCCTCATCAGAAAAGAGCACTTTGGCCGAAGATCCGTCTTCTCTTTCCAGTATCCAATTAACAAAAACACACCGCTGTAGATGGTCTGCCGGCTTCAATTCTTATGTTAGTTAGATTTTCTATGGATGGAGGTGTAAATCAATGTGTAAAATCCGGCGTAAAGTGGTCTCACTAATTCCCAATTGTTGCGAACGGTGCCTAGTCGATGTGGTTTGATCTCGCACACTTTCACTCACTGCGGCTATGTTTTCACGAGTACGAGCTGGATGAGCATGTTGGTCTGGTCTACGACCTTCAGCTGAACCAGTTTCCTCAAAACGATTAACAATCCAACGAGTTCCAGGTTCTGTAGGGCATCCATGTCGGCCAAAACTAGTGCGAAGTTTGCGAAAGGAATTTTTTATATTTCGACCGTTTTCGTAATAAGTTTGGATAACCAAAATGCCACTGACCCCGACCCAGTTCTGCCGTCGGGTTGAGACCTTGTACCAGTCGGGGATATCGCGGCGGGTCGCGGCTACAGGACGGTATTCAGATATTTTTGATGTTGCAGAGCCCTTTATCTCGTTTCCCTTAAGACATTGGTGTATATGGTACTAAGAAAAATTGCTTATGTTTTCAAGATCTACACGTCGTGTAAAGGAAAACCCCAACTTTGCAGACACCCTGTATATTTAATTTCCTTCTTTTAGGAGGGTGTATCCGAATATGTAAAAAATATCAGACAATTTTAAAAATTTGGCAGAATCTGTCATTTTGTTCAATCTGAATGACCTATGTTATATATTGATGCACATTCAGATAGATCATTCTGAAAGAAAAACATTGATAGATTGATACAATATACTATAACGTTTTATTGATTAGTAGGTGTATTAGAAGCGCCTTAATATACAAAAACGTTCAACCTTGACAGCCTGTCTGTCCATCATGTTGTACTATAGTGAGCTACCTATTAAGGACTTGAACATCACGTATATGCCGCCATCTTGAAGCTTTCAACTGCATTTTATCTTGGCCGTTAAAAAAATTAATAGTGGGACCTTCCTGAAAAGCCCTGTACATGTTTGTTCTGTGATGAGTCTTACAATATATGGAAAGAAACATTACCTTACTTCAGAACAGAAAAATAAATATAGACCATTTTTGCTTTCTACCGAGTTTCCTCAAAGGTATAGAAAAATACACGAAAGTGTTTTTCCGCTGCAAAAATGGAATGTTACGTACTTTCTTCAGGCAAGCACGATTATGCTCTTCAACGGGAAAACAAAGCCTTCTGCACTATTTTTTCAAATTCAACGTACAGTTATATGACGTCGTATGACTACGACGTAAATACGGATTTTACGACAGAGCAGTACTTGGAATTTCAAATCAACTGAGCGGTGAGTACTGTCTCATTTATTTCTTGTTTACTTGTTTGCTCACGTTTCACCAAACATTAGCTTTGTTATATCAATCGTAGTTGTGTCTGAAAAGGAAACAGCAACTTTGCGGACACCCTGTATATTGTTGCCACATTGCACGTTGGAAACATAGAACCATGTAGATTTTCCTAGAAAATCGAAAAAAGGCTTGCCAGTTTTTTAGGGGCAAATTAATATTCCTTTCAATATTGGCCCGCCACTAAAAAGAAATCCTGAGAGGTAGACTAAAATGTTATGTTCATTTCTCGTGTCGCTGTCTAATTTATTTTTACGTTATGATCATTTAGAATTTTAAAAACTTTCATAACCATATATCGTGAATTCATATGAAATTTTCGACTCACTTTTTCATATATTATATTTCCAGAAATGCTACCTCTATATTTTTCACTCACCTTCCAGACACTAATATCAACAAGAAAACTACGACAAATTTTCAATGTTTGGAACTTGTATCATAACCGAATCGCTTTATTGGTCTCTTTCATATTTCTGAAAGCTTCCAATAAATTTGAATACTCCAATACAAAACAATGAAAAGAAAAGTATCTCGTTAAGTACTATGTATTTCGCCTAAACAGGTTTTTTCTCTCGGGCGATACAACAACAAAGCGTTTGAAAGTAACGGTGTAACGGTATTATATCGAGAACTCAAAGCTCCTCGGCACCATTGAACTCGTCTAGAAAGCTATTGAATACCGTCACGGGCAGAGATAGCGAACGGCGAAGGAAAAGATAGAAGGAAAATACGGGAATGTCAATAAAATTGGAAGATTTCCCACCACTGCACAACGTTTCTGAGAGCTTTGACGGGGGTGCGGGTTCATGTGTTTGCATAGAAAGGAGTTTGGTTAAGTACTTTCGGCATACACGCAACTGGTTACTCTAATTATCATCAAAATATACATACTGCCAATGACGTCTTACCCAAATAAACCTGGAATGTTTACAAAAGTTCTTCCCCCACAACAATCACTCTTTTTTGCGATGTCGCCAAATAGGTTGCCCCCACGGTATCCACAACTAGCCAAATGACCTATTTCTGTTACAGAAAGTTTTTTCTAGAAGAAATTTATGTATATTATTATACAGGGTGTCCGCAAAGTTGGGGTTTTCCTTTACACGACGTGTAGATCTTGAAAACATAAGCAAGTTTTCTTAGTACAATATACACCAATGTCTTAAGGGAACCGAGATAAAGGGTTCTGTAACATCAAAAATATATGAATACCGTCCTGTAGCCGCGACATCTCCGAGTGGTAGAAAGTCACTGGCTCAACCCGACGACAGAACTGGGTCGGGGTCAGTGTGTCAGGTCAGTATGCAACCTTCAACCGACGGTTACGGTCACGCGTGTAGAAGTAAACGAACCCGTATAATCGATTGCGTTTCAAAAAACAACAAGCACTAGAGACGTGGCTAGAGAAGTGCAAGTATCAAAAACTAAAGTGTGGCAAACGCTGCGTGAAGAGGGGCTGTATCCGTTTCACGTCCAACGTGTACAAGCCCTTCAACCTGACGATTTTCCAGCAAGAGTGCGGTTTTGTGAGTGGCTGTTTCATCAACATGACAATAAACTGGACTTTTTGAAGTGCATATTGGTGACAGACGAATCTACGTTCACGCGTAATGGGGTGAATAACTTTCGCAACACTCATGTTTGGTCAGTAGAAAATCCGCACGCTGTCCGTCGGGCACATTTTCAACAAACATTTTCGGTGAATGTTTGGGCTGGCATGGTGAACGGTATGCTCATTGGACCATTTATTCTCCCAAACCGATTGGACTTTTTACGCAACATTTTGCCTTCCTTGTTAGAAGATGTGCCATTAAGTGTAAGACAATCAATGTGGTTTCTGCACGATGGTGCACCGCCCCATTTTAGACGCGAAGTGCATGAGTTTTTGAATGAATTATTTCCGAATAGGTGGATCGGACGTAATGGACCCGTAGCGTGGTCTGCACCATCGCCGGCGTCTGCTCGGTAGCGCATCAGCTGATTTCATTTTCTGTTGTAGCGGTATGATTTCGGGCAGAGACGTACTTAGCCCTTCTCGTCAACTGGAGAGTGAGTACTGTTTCCTTTTTTTTTTACTTGGTCGCCCTCGTTTCACTATACATTACCTTTGTTATTTCAAGGGTAGTTGTTTCTGAAAAGGAAAACCCCAACTTTGCGGACACCCTGTATACCTATAATAATTAATAGAACAAGTGAATAACACGCGAATTTTAATACAAATCGAGGTATAATACAAACCAGAGTATTCTCTGCATATTTGTATTAATGGTCATCTACGCAACGCTGCACTTGGTTGTAGTAATCTTACTATTCGTCATTATTCGTCAGAGCCGTCCGGTGGACCTTTGCTCTTAGTTAAGGTAGTAACCTTGTAGTAGTGGGAGTCATTCCCTGTCATTCTTATTTTGTTTGAAATTCGCTTTTATTCGTGAACTATACGTTTGATTTTCTTGTATTTTGAAGTGTCCCTTAAAGTCTGGCGAGATAAAGTTGATTTTTGTGTAAGGTTGAGGCTGGCAAAACAGGAAGTGAAAGATATCTTTTCACAGTTAAGGTTATGTTTACGATTCTACTCATTGGCGTGGCGTGCGTCATTTTCCTGATCCACTCCGTATTTTACATTTTTTTACCTGTGTAAAGAAGGTAAAAAATACTTTAGATTGTTTGACAAAACGACAGGAATACATAATAAAACAATAAGTAATCTAATAACACCTTTAGTTAATGGAACATATAGAGTGATACCCTCCAAGTTATTTGATT